TATATATAAAAAAGGATCAAAAGAAAGAAAGGAGCCAGTGCAATATCCGGAGGTCACCTATAAGTGCTAGGTTGCAGTGGATTAAGGCAGGAATAAACATCTCATGGCAAAAATACGCAAAAGTCAAGTTCATATAATATCACCAATTGATTCTACCACATTTTGCATGTGGATGACACTGTGGAGAGGTGATACAAACAAAATGTTGTCGATATTGAAGAAAGCTGCACTAAAAATAGTTTGAATTGGAATCCTGAGTTAGTTGAATTTTTTTTTTCTGGTCCGAAGAATTTAGTTCATTTGGACAGGGCAGAACAGCAGGAAAAATGACTGTGCTTGCATGCAAATATGGCTACAATATTGCCTGGCCTAAATTATATCAGGCAATTTTGAAATGCCAAATCTGATTTGATGAAGTTAGATTTTTATAGATTTGTATTAGAAATCAATAGGAAATTAACTTAGTGTTAAAATGATTGATTGCAATATTTTTCCTTTTGCTATCTTGTAAATGGGGATCAGGAGACATTCAAAGTTCAACATAGGGAAATAAACCAAAAAGTCAGTGGGCATTTTACAACCACCTCACCTTGTCATCCTTGACAAGAACAAATCATTCCCAAACATCCAGTCTGTAGCATCAGTGACAATCCTTCCGTATAGGGGGGTGAAACACAGTGCTATCTGCTTCTCCCAAAAGAGTCTGCAGAGGGAGCAGGCACACGAAAAGTGAACCAAGCAGGGCAAAACCTTTACAAAGGCATTAAAAAAAAAGGGGGTATTTTTTATTGCCGGAAATGTAATTAGAGTTTTATTTATAGTCAGATTTTAGAATACTTTACAAAAGAGAGACATGCATCCATCAAATTCAGCCTCTCACATTTATTTTTGCTAACATGGCAGTCAGATCTCTTTTGGATCAAAAAGCTATTACCACACTAACTAAAAATTATATCCCTGTATATTATGTTTTTGCAAGTATTTATGCAATTCTTGTTTAAACATCTGTAAAGACTCTAACAAAACCACCTCCTCAGGTAGAGAATTCCACATCCTTATTGTTCTTACTGTAAAGAACCCTTACATTTGTCTTAGAGTAAATGCGTGACTTTGTGTCCTATGTATAAGTCCTGTTGATGAATAAATTTCACACAGATACCCACAGGCGCATGCACAAACACAAATACACACTGCCACATACAGTCATGGGAAAAAGAAAGTACACCCTCTTTGAATTCTATGGTTTTACACATCAAGGCATAATAAAAATCATCTGTTCCTTAGCAGATCTTTAAAATTAGGTAAATACAACCTCGTATGAACAACACATGATATATTACACAGTGTCTTTATTTATTTAAAGGGATCCTATAGTGCCGGGAAAACAAAGCCATTTTGCTGGCACTATAGTTTTATAAGGAGCCCCCCTCCCGCTTTGTTGAAGGGGTTAAAACCCCTTTAGCCACTTACCTGAATCCCGTGCCGATGTCCCTCAACGCTGGGTCAGGCTCCGCTCACGCTCCTCCACCACTGATGGCAGCCAGCGGGGAAAATCCAATGCGAAGGCAATATCTGTGCTCGCATTAGGGTTTGCCCATAGGGAAGCATTATTCAATGCTTCTCTATAGGGAAAATCTGGCGCTGGAGGTCCTCATGCAGGTCCGTTTCTATTCCGGAAGCTCTGGTAGACAGCCACTAAGGGCAGACTTAGAGCTGCAATGTAAACAGACAATCATCTGCAAGTGGACCATCTCCAAAAAAAAAAACCAAAACAATATGTTAGCAGTTTACTGGTCTGGAGCATTCAGGCGTGTGTTAACACAATGCCAAGGAGGAAAGACATCAGCAATGATCTTAGAGAAGCAATTGTTGCCAATCAAACTAAGAAGAGTAATAACACCATTGCCAAACCATTTCAGGTCCATCATTCTACAGTGCAAAAGATTATTCAAAAGAGGAAAACATTCAAGATAGTTGCCATTCTTCGCAGGAGTGCACGTCCCAACAAACTCACCCCAAAGTTCACACTGTGCAATGCTCAGAGAAGAGTTAGATCTCGAATCCAACCCTTAATGCAACTTTTAATGCAACCCCCTTTCCCACCCTAATACAACCTCTGTAAGCCCTATATACAGTGTGATTGCAAAAAGAGAGGGAGAGCTCACTCATGCAGCAGCACACAGATTGGGGCTATGCAGCTGGCAGATCCTAACCCATATCCTTCTGCAGGGGGTAAGAACAGAGACCTCCTCAGGGATTTTTCAGACCAAGCTGGAGGCGGCTAATACAATCTTTAAATTAACCTTTACTGTATGATGGTCTATGCGCCACTGGGCATTAAAGTCCAGCACTGCATTCAGATTCAACTTTTGTTATAACAGTCCAACGTACATACAAGGACCATGAAACACAGTTGGTCTCTGAAAAGAAATGCAGCAGCATTTGATGATAAAAACAATATATAAAAAATGTACTTCCAGTGTACAGCTTTTACAATATATACCTAATACCATAATTCCTCTAGTACTCAAGAAATACAATCCTTAATTGATACCAATTTTAAGCCTAATAATATTTTGACACTATAGAATGGTACCACCATCTACAGATTCAATATACAACCTATAACACACACCATACCTGTGCAATAAATACTACCATACAATTAGTACATCATGTGCAAATACCCAATCCTTATCAATATATCTTTATCATGTGACAAAAAATGCTTAATGTGAGCACAAAAGGACACATGAATAAAGTGCAAAGTGTAAGCAGATCGGCCATATACATAAAGCGCAAAAAAAAGAGCACAGATGGTAAGTGCAAAATGTAAGCACATAAAATGTGCAAATACAGAACATGACCACATAAATCATGTGCAAAAAAAAAAAATACATAATGCATATAAAGTGCAAAATGTGAACACAATCAAAACAATCACATCGACCATGTGCATAAGTGCAATGGGAGCACAATAAGTGGAAGATGTGAGCACAATATGTACAAATGTGGCGCAATGGCACATGCATAAAGTGCCAATTATATATTAAACATACAAAAGTACAAGTAAAACCACTGAGTGCAAATTACCAATCAATAAACAAGGACTGTATACTCCTAGCAAATAAAACAGTATAACTAAATATTAATACAATTATAATCCTAGGAAATTATCGCGTATAGATTGAATTCAAAGACTTCACCGCAGAGGGAACAAAACTATTCCCAAACCTACAAGTTAGACAATACAGACTCCAATAAGTTTAACGACTTACCATAGGATGGCAATAGAGGTTGTGTGTAGTAATTATGGTGTATAGCAGTGTTTCCCAATTTGTGTTCTGCGAGAACACAAATGGGGTTCCGCCAAAATTTCGGGAAACAAAATTGCTGCCGCGATTATTGAGGCAGGCAGCGAGGCAGCTGAGCAGGGGAGAGTGCTCCCTCGCCACCCGCCTCAATTATCGCGGTGGGCATTATCGCAGCACCCACAGCTGTAGTGCCGGAGCCGGAATATGACGTCACTCCGGCATCACTAAAAGGCGCCCAAGGGAGCTGAGCAGGAAGATCACCGCTCCCTCGCCGCCCGCACGCCAGCCCAGCAGCCCCACTGGACCCCAGGGACTGCACGCCAGCCGCTCAGCCCAGCAGCCCCACTGGACTTCAGGGACTGCACGCCAGCTGCAAACAAATAAATGGTGTGTGTCTGTTAAGGAGTTTGTATGTGTGTGTCAGTGAGAGTGTATATGTGTTTGTATGTGTGTCTGTCAAAGAGCATGTGTATCTGTCACTGTTTGTATCTGAGTATGTGTGTATTGGTGTGTGTGTGCCAGTGTATATCAGTGTGTTTGTATGCGCCTATGTGTGTGTGTGTGTATCTGAGTGTGTGTCAGTGTCAATGTGTGTATGTGCCAGTGTGTGTATCTGTGGGTGCAAGTGTGTATTTGTGAGTCAAGATGTGTCACTGTGTGCATCTGAGTGTATTTGTGAGTCAAGATGTGTGTGTCACTGTGTCCATCTGAGTGTGTGTTTATTTGTGAGTCAAGATGTGTGTATCAAGGTGTGTGCATGTATCTGTGTGTCAGTGACAGACACACACACAGATACACACTGACAGACAAACCTGTACATACACCTTGACAAACACCGGCACATACAAATGCAGATACACACACTGACACACAGATACATGCACACATACACTGTGTGTATCTTTGTGCCACTATGTACCAGTGTGTAAGTATTTGTGTGTCAGATACATACACACACACACACACAAACACAGATACACACAAAAACCGGTGCAAATTGAAAATAAAATTATTTACGTGGAGGGGGGTTCACGATTTTGATACACTATGTCAAATGGTACCACAGGAAAAATTAATTGGGAACCCCTTGGTGTATAGGGACCTTTAATCGGTCAGGTGCTCAAAATAATGAAAGAAAGCTAACCTGCCCCCCCACCCCCTCCCAAGCTAATCATGCTCTTTCTAAAGAGTGCAACATTTTATTTCTATATTGTACTAACAGTTAAAAAATGATTTAAACATATCAAACTCTATGCCAAGGAATTGACAGGTACAGTAGAAGGCACCTTTCTGCTCTCCACCCATAGCGCATGCACTATGGTTGCTAGGGTAACCACATATAGCAATATGGAGTGACTAATGGCACTTTGTTCAGATGGCGGCAATGAAGCCAGAGTGTCGGCATCAAGGTGGAGCTTTGCCCTGCTTGATGAAGCTTTTCTCAAGCAAAACAAATCTGTGAGAAGTGAGTGTATTACCCATCTCTCTAAAAAAACTGTGGAGGGGGAGCAGAGGGTCCAGTATATGTCTGACAGGTTCACTTTGATATAATAAGTTCTTATTTTAGCTTAAAAATCTCACTTTCCTCCCCCTCAAACCCCCACAGATGGTACACATATTTAATCAGTTAATAATTGAGAGGAAGTGTTGAAATAAAAAAAAAATAAAAAAATTGTTATTGTTTTTCCAGCCAAAAACAGAGCCATTAATTATAGGACATTTTTTGTTTACAATATTTTTGAATATTGATTTATTAACATGGAAAGGTTCCTAAAAAATATATATTTTTTTTTCATAATCAGTGACACTCCGTTTTAGAAACACTTTGCTATTTTATGCAAGCAATATATGCCACTGTATATATTATTCTGTTATCATTACAGTAGTCATTAGAGAATTATTATAATCTGCATTCACTGGGATGATTTTCGTCCTTCGATGATAAAATCTTTAAACATGTCAGTAAACACTGAAAACAATCCATCAGTCATTTAACTGAAGACATATATCCATGAATTAAATAATATTCAGGTTCTTCCATGTGTAAAGGCATTTAGTTTGTTTTTTTCTCTACTGAGTGAAACTCAAGATTTCTGTGTCTCCGGAGGCTGATATTCACCCATTTCAAGTTTTTCTTTGAATTTCAAATAATCTCTTCTTTTGTCAAAGTATTTCAGCTGTTTAAAAAAAAAACAAAAAAAAAACAAAACACAAAATCACAGTTTAGTAATTAAAAACAATATTCCTATACAAAAAATATTTTCAGAATACTTTGCAGAGACCAGGAAGTCAGTTCACTTAATCATTTTTTGTGCATCACTTTTTATTGGAATTTTGATGTATTGAAAACATATAAAAATAAATACATTAGAGAGGCAAAAAACAATTCTCTTCTGCTTTAGATGGCAATTTCAGCCCTATTTGGACACTCTCAGCTAATGAATGCCACTCAAACAGGGACTGAATTAATATCACTGATGTGGAAGAGGATTCTCACTGCACATCCAGACTCCTACCAGGAATCCAACCATTCGGAAATGGCCAGGGACACAAGCTAGAACATGTCAAATGCATAAAAACTTGAAAGTTTAGAACCTGTGTTCATACTTTGATACATGAATCATTCGGGGTTTCTAAACATATTTTTAAACATTTTCTTGTTCCAGTGACAATCCCTCCCATACCCACATACCCATTGCTGTGGACAACGGCTTTCAAAACAATGTCGGAGCGCTTGGCACTTTGTATCATCATCTCTATTACTGTCCAAGCAATGCCAGTACTGGTCTCGTGCATCCCAACATGCCTTTCTTTCCTTTGCTGTTGGAGCTGCCATTTTTTATCACTAGAGAAAAAGCAACAATACATAAAAATCTTATAACAGTTTCAGTTAGATAATCATTCTAGCTAAGTCAACAAATTTAAAACTTCCACAAAATCACACGTCAATATAATGAAAATACACTTGCAGGACCATAGCCATGTTAAAGGGATACTACAGTCACCAGAACATCTGCAGCCTTTTGTATTTGTTCTGTTCTGTATTGTATTTGTTCTGTTTCTAGAGAAAAGGCAGTGTTTACATTACAGTCTAGGGATACCAGCACTTGCCACGCATCAGATGACTACTAGAGGTGCTTCCTAGGGCAGTGCTGCACAGCGTGCAGAACTGACATTCAGTGTCTCCACCCTCTGCATGGAGACACTGAACTTTCCATATAGAGATGCATTGATTAAATGCATCTCTATGAGGAGATGCTGATTGACCAGGGCTATGTTTGACTTGTGCTGGCTCTGACCCTGGTGTGTCTCCTTGACATTCTCAGCCAATCCAGTGCTTTCCTATGGAAAAGCATTGTGATTGGCTCAGATCACCATTTCTGATTATGTCAGCCAAGGAAGCAGATTAGGGGCAGAGCCAGAAGCAGCATACAGGAATAAATGAAATATTTTACTATATTTAGGGGGGCAGGATAATGTTCTTTAACACTATAATACACATTTTAGTAATTGAATTACTAACAAATGAATGAATCAGAAGATATCTTATGATTGTAGATAACCATCTATGAGTACACTAATTTCATACAGACCAGCAATTTGCATGCAAACACACTGCTATAGATCTAATATTCTTTAAAGGAGCACTATAGGGTCAGGAACACAAACATGTATTCCTGACCCTATAGTGTTAAAACCACCATCTAGCCCCCCTGGGCCCCTCATGCCTCCATAAATATAGCAACATCTTACTGAATTCCAGCCAGAATCTGTAGATCTGCATGCTGTGTGCCTCAAAAAACAAACAAAAAACAAGCAGTCTGCTGACATCATCAGAAGTGGTAGCCTGATCCAATCACAATGCTTCCCAATAGGATTGGCTGAGACTGACAAAGAGGCAGATCAGGGGCAGAGCCAGCATGATTCAAACACAGCCCAGGCCAATCAGAATCTCCACAGGAACATAAACATGTATTCCTGACCCTAAAGGGTTAAAACCACTATCTAGCCACCCTGGTTCTCTCATGCTCATCCTAAATCTAGTAAACTCCTACATGTATTCAAGCCTGGAGATGCTGTCTTTGCCACTGTTTGCTTTTGATCTGCCCACTGCCTGCTGAAATCAGCAGAAGTGGTAGCTTGATCCAATCACAATGCTTCCCCACAGGATTGGCTGAGACTGTCAAGGAGGCAGATCAGGGGCAGAGCCAGCACAATTCAAACACAGCCCTGGCCAATCAGCATCTCCTCAGAGATGAATTGAATCAATGAATCTCTATGAGGAAAGTTCAGTGTCTGCATGCAGAGGGAGGAGATACTGAATGTTTGGATGCATTTCAGGCAGCCATGACCCAGGATGGATCTCTAACAGCTATCTGAGGAGTGGCCCGGGAAGTTATCACTAGGGTGTAATGTAAACACTGCATTTTCTCTGAAAAGACAGCAAAAAGCCTGAAGGTAATGATTCTACTCACCAGAACAAATTCAATAAGTTGTAGTTGTTCTGGTGACTATAGTGTCCCTTTGAAGGGAAACTCCAGTGCCAGGAAAACAGATTGTGCAGGTACCCTCTCGCTCCCACCTCCCATCCCAGGTAGCTGAAGGGGTGAAAACACCTTCAGGTCACTTACCTGAGACCACCTCCTCCCAGTAATTATGTCAGCCGGTGGGCGAGACTGATCCCGCCCGCCGGCTGAGGAAACCTAATGCGCATGCGCGGCAATGCCACACACGCGCATTAGGTCTCCTCATAGGAAAGCATTGAAAATAATTTTCAATGCTTTCCTATGGGGAATTGAGCGACGCTGGAGGTCCTCACACAGCGTGAGGACATCCAGTGACACTCTAGCAAAGAAAATCTTTGCTATGAAGCAGGAAGTGCCCTCTAGTGGCTGTCTAGTAGACAGCCACTAGAGGTGGAGTTAACCCTGCAATGTAATTATTGAGTTTAAAAACTGCAATAATTACAGTTGCAGGGTTAAGAATAGTGGGAGTTGGCACCCAGACCACTCCAATGGGCGCCTGGAGTGTCCCTTTAAGTGACACTAACAGTTTTATCTCCTTGGAGTGGTTATAATGCCTGGAGTCCTCACAAAGGTGGAGGTGAAAGAACTGTCTCTGGACTGCTGTCTTTCGAATCTCAGGCTCAACGCGTTTCGTCCCGCGCTTTTCGGGACTTCCTCAGGAGCTGTGAATGCTGTTTCTTTCGCCGGCTTTCTCTCTTTTAAATCCTCAAAGATCTTCTGTCTTCGCGCCAAAACGACATCTTTGCGCATGCGCACACCGACACAGATTTCCGTTCAGCTACGGGTACCCATATAGACCAGTTGCTATCGGGAAATCGTCGGCGCGCATGCACAGTCAATTTTGAACGCACAAAAAAACTTTATTAGCACTGAGTGCTGGACACTATATAACACCACGTTTGTTAAAAGTGACCAAAACACTCATCACAGTTGTGCCTACTTTCAACATAGTGAACGAATCCTTGGAGTTTACCACAAATATAGCAAAAGTGTGAATAAACAATATAAATTATAAATTATAAAATCTAAAAACAATAATATCTAAAAAGGCTGTGGATGTAAAGTGTATTGAATGTACATTACATTTGCGGTAATCCTTACAATCTAAATAAGACAGTAAAGATAGATATCGGAACAATTAGATGGAAGCACTATATTCTATAAATCTCTTGATAATTTTATGAATAAATAAATAAGTAAATTAATTCAAACCCAATCTGTTTGTATAGAAGATTATTGGTCTTAATAAAAAAGAGGATGGAATAATTATTATGGGAATCCGAGAATGGCAATCATAACATTAACCATATATAGGTATTATACAGAAATATAAAGATAAAAAAACCATGAGAAAAAAACCATAAGAAAAAAACCATGAGAAAAAAGGGGGACCAATTTAGTTGACACAATATATTACATAAAAGCCAAAATGTCCAGGTCGGTGTTCAGACCTAGAGGAGTTGAGGACTTCATTTTATAGATCCATTCTGTTTCTTTTCTAGCCAAAGTTTTAGTAGTGTCCCCGCCTCTCCAATGTGGAACAACCAGATCGATACCTATACAAATAAAATTATTCAGAGAGAAGGTAGAACAACCATTACAATGTCGAGGTACACTATGTTTTTCGCTTTTCTTTTTTATACCATTAAAATGCTCTAAAAGTCTCTCATGCAATTTACGAATAGTTCGACCTATATACTGTATTCCGCATACACATTCTAGTAAATATACAACATTTTTACTGCTGCATGTTATAAATTGTTTTATCATGAAACTCTCGTTTGTAACTGTACTTTTAAAAGTTGTCGTTATTCTTTTTTGAAACTTACAAGTGCTACAGTTTCCACATCTGTGGAAACCATTAGATTTCTTTTTTAAAAAAGTATCCTGTTTATCTTCTGACGGTACTTTTGGTAACATACTAGGTGCTAGAATTGTTTTTAAACTATTGGTCTTTTTATACACAATTTTTGGCTTCTTAGGTAATATCTTGTGGAGGTAAGTGTCCTGCAATAGAATCGGCCAGTGTTTTCTAAGGACTTTATCCATTTTGTTTGCTTTATTATTATATTTAGTAATAAATGCCATATCAAAAAAGTTCTTCCCAACATTGCTATTTTTTGGTTTTACTTTTAAGATCTCTTCCCTTTTTTTAATTATTACTTCCTCTTGACTTCTTTCAAGTAATTCTTTAGGGTAATTCCTATCTAAAAATCTTTTATTTAGAACTTGGACCTGACTATTAAAATCCTTTTTGTTTGTACAATTCTTATATAACCTAGTTTGCTGACTTTTAGGAATATTTCGTAACCACACAGGATTATGGCAACTAGAAAATTCGATAAGGCTATTGCAATCTGTGGGTTTAAAAAAAGTTTTACTGCAGATTACATTACTCTCTATAAAGAAAGTTAGATCCAAAAAATTGATCTGTGTATCTCCCATTTCTTGGGTGAAAATCAACCCATAATTGTTAGAATTTACATAGACCATAAAGCCATTAAACAAATGAACATCTCCCTTCCAAATAATAAGAATATCGTCTATGTACCTTCTCCACAGCACCAGGTTTGCCCCAAAAGGATTGTTGTTCCAAATACATCGTTCTTCCCAATTTGCTACAAAGATATTAGCGTAGCTTGGGGCAAACCTGGTGCCCATGGCGCTACCACAGACCTGCAAATAATGAATACCTTCAAACCAAAAAGAATTCTTATGTAGAATAAAATCAATACATTGTAAAATAAATTCACTCTGTCTTTTAGACATTTTATTATCATTATCCAACACCTCTTTTACAGCAGCTATTCCTTTAGTGTGGTCAATGACCGTATATAGTGATGTAACGTCTATCGTGACCCATAGGTAATCTTCCTTCCATTCCATTCCTTCTAGTTCTCTAATAATTTGGGTTGAATCTTTTACATATGAGGCTGCTAGAGTGACATATTTTTGCAGATATATATCTACATATTCAGAAATGTTACTTGTGAGGGAATCAATACCACTAATGATGGGCCTTCCAGGTGGATCTTCCAGGGATTTGTGAATCTTAGGTAATTGATAGAAAACGGCCAATTTAGGGAACTCAATGTAAAGATATTCAAACTCCATTTTTGTGATTATTTTCTGTTCTAATGCTTTAGATAATATGACATGTAACTCCAACTTAAATGTATTAGTTGGATTTTCTTTCAAAATTTTATAGGTTTTTATATCACTAAGAATTCTATTTGATTCTCTCAAATATTTATCTCTATCCATAATTACAATCCCCCCGCCCTTATCGGCTTGTTTGATGACAATTTCTAGTTTTTCTTTTAAATTTTTTTTTTTTTTTTTTTGCTTTTTTCTCATTTGGGGACAAATTTTCTTTCCCTTTTTCACTTTTGAATTTCTCAAAATCATTTAATACCATACTACAAAAAACTGGAATATAGTCTCCTTTATCCCAGTTTGGAAAGAATTTTGATTTTGTTTTTAAATTCAAATTCACTATTACAGGTTCATTTTCAACATTCTCTAATGGTACATTTTCTAAATCAATAATAAAGGAGTTAGATCTCACATTATCTTCAGCTTTTCTTTCAAAAAAGCGTTTTATTGTTAACTTTCGAAAAAATCTCTGAATGTCCATAAATAATTCAAAATGATTGGGATTTTTTTGAGGGGCAAATTTTAAACCCTTTCCCAGTAATTTGATTTCTTCCTTCGTCAGTTTATGTTTTGAAAGATTAAATATGCCTAATTCCTTTTCATTTGAGACCTCTGCTGTTAGCAAAGTGTTTCGTCCTCCTCCCCTTGTTCCCCTATGTCTATTCTTTGTTCCATTAGACGTTTTCTCTTTATCGGAGTTGGTGTTTCTAGAGGTGCAAATCTGTTTCTGTGAACCCATAAATCTAAATTCTTGGGAGGTTGTCTTACTTGGACTGATTTTTTTGGACTTTTTTGTGTGGTTCTCCTTCCTAAAAAAACATTGCTATTAGCGGATCTATCTAGTCCATACTCTGTTCTTTTCTCAGTAGTGGTGTTAGAGTTAACTATTTTATAAGTGTTTTGTACCCTATTTGTTTTTTCTTTTTGATTTCTACTTTGGGTTTGTTTTCCTTGATTGTTAACATAATTATCGTACTGAGATCTTCTGTCATAGCTGTAATCTCCAGATCTCTTTTGTTGGAACTTTTTAAATTGAAATTGAGATGAATTACGATTTCTATTCCATTCATATTGAAATCCTTTTTCAAAATCTTCCTTGTCTCTTTTCAACTTATTGTCCTTCCTAATAATAATCGTTTCTTCAAATTTTTCTATTTTTGTTTTTAATTGTAAATTATATTCTTTTACCGACTCCTCGCTAATTTCCTTATTAATATCAGCCTCCAATATACAGATTTCCTTTTCGATTTCGGCCAAAGCCTTTGATTGATGTTCTACAAGTAGCTCTATTAGCTGCAAAGAGCATTTTTCTAAAATCTCATTCCACCTAGACATGAATCTTTTATCTTCATGTCCATATGCAGGGGACTTATTTATCCTAAGTCCCCTGGGAATGATACCCATCTTTAAATATTGTTGAAAATATTTTACTACTGGGAAAAGAACAGAGTATGGACTAGATAGATCCGCTAATAGCAATGTTTTTTTAGGAAGGAGAACCACACAAAAAAGTCCAAAAAAATCAGTCCAAGTAAGACAACCTCCCAAGAATTTAGATTTATGGGTTCACAGAAACAGATTTGCACCTCTAGAAACACCAACTCCGAATTATTTATGGACATTCAGAGATTTTTTCGAAAGTTAACAATAAAACGCTTTTTTGAAAGAAAAGCTGAAGATAATGTGAGATCTAACTCCTTTATTATTGATTTAGAAAATGTACCATTAGAGAATGTTGAAAATGAACCTGTAATAGTGAATTCGAATTTAAAAACAAAATCTAAATTCTTTCCAAACTGGGATAAAGGAGACTATATTCCAGTTTTTTGTAGTATGGTATTAAATGATTTTGAGAAATTCAAAAGTGAAAAAGGGAAAGAAAATTTGTCCCCAAATGAGAAAAAAGCAATAAAAAAAATAAAAAAATAAAAAATTTAAAAGAAAAACTAGAAATTGTCATCAAACAAGCCGATAAGGGCGGGGGGATTGTAATTATGGATAGAGATAAATATTTGAGAGAATCAAATAGAATTATTAGTGATATAAAAACCTATAAAATTTTGAAAGAAAATCCAACTAATACATTTAAGTTGGAGTTACATGTCATATTATCTAAAGCATTAGAACAGAAAATAATCACAAAAATGGAGTTTGAATATCTTTACATTGAGTTCCCTAAATTGGCCGTTTTCTATCAATTACCTAAGATTCACAAATCCCTGGAAGATCCACCTGGAAGGCCCATCATTAGTGGTATTGATTCCCTCACAAGTAACATTTCTGAATATGTAGATATATATCTGCAAAAATATGTCACTCTAGCAGCCTCATATGTAAAAGATTCAACCCAAATTATTAGAGAACTAGAAGGAATGGAATGGAAGGAAGATTACCTATGGGTCACGATAGACGTTACATCACTATATACGGTCATTGACCACACTAAAGGAATAGCTGCTGTAAAAGAGGTGTTGGATAATGATAATAAAATGTCTAAAAGACAGAGTGAATTTATTTTACAATGTATTGATTTTATTCTACATAAGAATTCTTTTTGGTTTGAAGGTATTCATTATTTGCAGGTCTGTGGTACCGCCATGGGCACCAGGTTTGCCCCAAGCTACGCTAATATCTTTGTAGCAAATTGGGAAGAACGATGTATTTGGAACAACAATCCTTTTGGGGCAAACCTGGTGCTGTGGAGAAGGTACATAGACGATATTCTTATTATTTGGAAAGGAGATGTTCATTTGTTTAATGGCTTTATGGTCTATGTAAATTCTAACAATTATGGGTTGATTTTCACCCAAGAAATGGGAGATACACAGATCAATTTTTTGGATCTAACTTTCTTTATAGAGAGTAATGTAATCTGCAGTAAAACTTTTTTTAAACCCACAGATTGCAATAGCCTTATCGAATTTTCTAGTTGCCATAATCCTGTGTGGTTACGAAATATTCCTAAAAGTCAGCAAACTAGGTTATATAAGAATTGTACAAACAAAAAGGATTTTAATAGTCAGGTCCAAGTTCTAAATAAAAGATTTTTAGATAGGAATTACCCTAAAGAATTACTTGAAAGAAGTCAAGAGGAAGTAATAATTAAAAAAAGGGAAGAGATCTTAAAAGTAAAACCAAAAAATAGCAATGTTGGGAAGAACTTTTTTGATATGGCATTTATTACTAAATATAATAATAAAGCAAACAAAATGGATAAAGTCCTTAGAAAACACTGGCCGATTCTATTGCAGGACACTTACCTCCACAAGATATTACCTAAGAAGCCAAAAATTGTGTATAAAAAGACCAATAGTTTAAAAACAATTCTAGCACCTAGTATGTTACCAAAAGTACCGTCAGAAGATAAACAGGATACTTTTTAAAAAAAGAAATCTAATGGTTTCCACAGATGTGGAAACTGTAGCACTTGTAAGTTTCAAAAAAGAATAACGACAACTTTTAAAAGTACAGTTACAAACGAGAGTTTCATGATAAAACAATTTATAACATGCAGCAGTAAAAATGTTGTATATTTACTAGAATGTGTATGCGGAATACAGTATATAGGTCGAACTATTCGTAAATTGCATGAGAGACTTTTAGAGCATTTTAATGGTATAAAAAAGAAAAGCGAAAAACATAGTGTACCTCGACATTGTAATGGTTGTTCTACCTTCTCTCTGAATAATTTTATTTGTATAGGTATCGATCTGGTTGATCCACATTGGAGAGGCGGGGACACTACTAAAACTTTGGCTAGAAAAGAAACAGAATGGATCTATAAAATGAAGTCCTCAACTCCTCTAGGTCTGAACACCGACCTGGACATTTTGGCTTTTATGTAATATATTGTGTCAACTAAATTGGTCCCCCTTTTTTCTCATGGTTTTTTTCTTATGGTTTTTTTTCTCATGGTTTTTTTATCTTTATATTTCTGTATAATACCTATATATGGTTAATGTTATTATTGCCATTCTTGGATTCCCATAATAATTATTCCATCCTCTTTTTTATTAAGACCAATAATCTTCTATACAAACAGATTGGGTTTGAATTAATTTACTTATTTATTTATTCATGAAATTATCAAGAGATTTATAGAATATAGTGCTTCCATCTAATTGTTCCGATATCTATCTTTACTGTCTTATTTAGATTGTAAGGATTACTGCAAATGTAATGTACATTCAATACACTTTACATCCACAGCCTTTTTAGATATTATTGTTTTTAGATTTTATAATTTATAATTTATATTGTTTATTCACACTTTTGCTATATTTGTGGTAAACTCCAAGGATTCGTTCACTATGTTGAAAGTAGGCACAACTGTGATGAGTGTTTTGGTCACTTTTAACAAACGTGGTGTTATATAGTGTCCAGCACTCAGTGCTAATAAAGTTTTTTTGTGCGTTCAAAATTGACTGCGCATGCGCGCCGACGATTTCCCGATAGCAACTGGTCTATATGGGTACCCGTAGCTGAACGGAAATCTGTGTCGGTGTGCGCATGCGCAAAGATGTCGTTTTGGCGCGAAGACAGAAGATCTTTGAGGATTTAAAAGAGAGAAAGCCGGCGAAAGAAACAGCATTCACAGCTCCTGAGGAAGTCCCGAAAAGCGCGGGACGAAACGCGTTGAGCCTGAGATTCGAAAGACAGCAGTCCAGAGACAGTTCTTTCACCTCCACCTTTGTGTTGAGAGCTGCAAGTATTTCCAGCCCTTAGAGTCGCGACCTAGGGCTATGTGTAGTATCCTTATACTTGCTAGCTAGTGGTTGGTGTTTGTTTATAACTGGTCTTACAATTGCACTGCTTTATTTGTTTTTATATTTTGTATATTAAATTTTGGATTTTCAATTATAAATCCTCTTGTCACTAGTATTTAGCGCCCTCAATAGGGGAGACTTGCACCCTCCCCTTTCTTTTATCTTCCACTTATTATCTATAGGCTTTTTTGGGGTGTGCCTATTTTTGAGTGGCAGCTTTTTACTTGTATGATATTCTTATAGAACCTAGATTCTGGATCTCTTTTTACTTTGTAATGCCTGGAGTCTCCTGGCACTGTTCTTCAGTTCACTGTTAAACCATTTTAACTGCTTGAAAATGGTTTATCACCAAACAGCACCAAGAGATATAACTAATTTAATGAGATGCAATGGTTTTATTGCTTTGAGTGCTTAGCTAGCAAATTACCTACCAAACAGTTGCTGTCCTTATATATTTCATGAGTATAGGGAGGCTATAGCCACCAGAACAACTACAGCTTTTTGTACTTGTTCTGGCGAGTAGAATCATTCCCTTCAGTTTTTTATGCAGTAAACACTGTCTTTTCAGAGAAATTGTAGTGTTTGCCCCTGATCTGCCTCATTGACAGTCTCAGACAATCCTATGGGAAAGCAATGTGATTTGCTCACAGAATCACTTCTGATGAGGTCAGCTGTAAGCAAGCAGATCAGGGGCAGAGGCAGCAGCTGCAGACTTGAATACAAGTAAGATTTTACTATATTTAGGAAGGCAAGGAGGCCCAGATGATTGTTTTAACATTATATGGTCAGGAATACAAGTTTGTGTCTGTAACGGATCACCTAGCACCCCAACTGGGTACCTCTGTTAACAGATGCCGAGGACTACAAGCACCGCACCGGACACCACAACCACCGTAGCTTAACTGGAGTCTTGCTGTCTTCCTTCCACCTTGGATCAACCTCTGACATCCAGGACCGTGTGGGAAAGACCTCTCCTCCAGGAGAGCGTAACAGGAACAGCTCTTAAAAGTGATTAGAGCCCAGGGGAGTATACAAAGTATAGCAATCCCCAGTGTGAATATAGCAGTTCCCTACAAACACGAGACGAGGCTACGTATTAAAGGTTAAGCAGATCTGAGGGTTTAATGTGCCAGGCTGTCCTTTTATGCAACTTTTCCCACAAGGTTACCACCCATGTTGACCTTGTGGGGCACCGAAAAATACATTCAACAGACAATAGTATACATTCACAAAGATAAACACTCCCATTCATTTACAGTATATTCCTCCCCTCTGCTTGGGAGATAATTGAGTTAACAAAGCATCCGTTAACGGCAGTACCCAGTCGGGGTGCCAGGTGATCCGTTACAATGTCCCTAACCCTACAGTGTTCTTTTAAATTTAAATTTGTTTGTGACAGATCCACTTTCATTGAGTCTAAACTACAGCTTATTGTATTTGTTCTGGGGAGTAGAATCATTATTACATTACAGCCTAGGGATAACTCCAGAGGCCACTCCTCATGGTTACTAGAGGTGCTTCCTGGGGCAGCACTGACATTCAGTATCTCCACCCTCTGCATGGAGACACTGAACTTTCCTCATAGAGATGCACTGATTCAGTGCATCTCTATGAGGAGAATCTGATTGGCCAGGCTATGTTTCGCTTGTGCTTGCTCTGCCCCTGATCTGCCTCCTTGACCGTCTCCACTAATCTAATGCTTTCCTATGGGAAAGCATGGTGATTGGCTTTGATCAACACTTATGATGATGCCAACCAAGAAGGAAAATGGGGGCAGAGCCAGCACCAGCAGACTGGAATAAATTTAAGATTTTACTATATTTAAAGCACAAGACATTTTAACACTCTAAGGTCAGGAATACATGTTTGTGTTCCTGACCCTACAGTGTCCCTTTAAAGTCAACTAATTTAATGTGGTCTGGGTGCAGTTTTCCAGTCTTTAAAATTCTGCAAAGCAAAACACTGCAGTTGTTTGGAAAATTAAATGTTTACATTGTAGGGTTATATCCAGCTCTTTTGGTGGTGGAAGATCCCCGTAGGAAAGCAACTTACTCAATGCTTTCCTATAGAGACGTTTGAATGCACGTGTGGCACTTGCCACACATGTGTATTAAGTCCCCAATGCTCCTCTAGAAGGAGCACTGGTTGGATCAGCATGAAGGAGGCCATACCACCTTCATGACATTGCAGAAAGCAGGGAGGTGTGCCAACTTAAACTTTTTTTTTTTTTTAAATGGTAAATGAGTGAAGGGGCTATTTAGACCTAAGGACGGGGACACTATATTAAGAATATAGATTTGTATTCCTAACACTATAGTGCTGCTTTAAATATTTCCCCACTTTGGTGACTGAGGAACTCGCCCCCAAACATTTATAAACAAGTTGACCACCATAAAACTCACAAGTGGACTGAACAAAAATCTAATTAATCGAGGAGAAAGTATAAAGAAGCTGCCATGATTAATAGATTTTATTAAAGGACATGGAGGTTCATATTATGCTTTTCTCTTTCTTTATTCCTCAGAAGCAAAGAAAGGATACTGACATTCATAGAAAAAAAACTTTAACATATACCCTCACAGGGTTAACACATAACAATGCTCTCTGTATCATAAACCCCCATGTGACCAAGCCACTCCCTTTCTTTGCTGCTGCCTCTGATGGAGGTAGGCAGGCTATTCCATAGGAAGGGAGCTGCCCGCGGGAAGTCCTGCAAGTGTGAGTTGGCCGTTCTGGTGTGGACAACGGACAGGAGGTGGTCACAGGCAGAGCGGAGAGACCGAGAAGGGACATACCTATGGATCTGTGAGGAGATCTAAGAGGGGTTAGAGTTGTTCAGTGCTTTATAGGTGTGAATTAGTACCTTGAATTGACTCCTATAGCATACAGGAAGCCAATGTAAGGACTGGCAGAGGGGTGAGGTGCGAAAAACGACTAGAGAGGAAAATCAGTCTGGCAGCAGCGTTCATTACGGACTGTAGCGGTGCAGTACTGCTTTTGGGAAGATCAATCAGGAGAGGGTTACAATAATCCATGCGAGAAATTACTAGAGCAAGGACAAGCTCCTTGGTAGTATCTGGTGCAAGAAAAGGGCGGATGCAGGCTATGTTTTTAAGATGGAATCTACAGGATTTGGAAACATGCTGGATGCTTAATTGGGATTCACTGTCAATTAAGTGGAAGGGGCACTACTACCACCATCTAAGATAAAGACCATCAGGAAGGAAATCCGTCGGACACTGGCACGGCTGGTGCATACTCTGCAACAACTGGCCAGGATCATCGGCCTTCTCTCAGCCTCAATCCAGGCCCACTTCACTACAGAGCCCTTCAGTGTTTAAAGGCAAAATACCTTCATTTAGGGCACTCCTATTCAGACTCTGTTTCAGTCAACTGCAGCACACAGAAGAGCAATCTCCGGGATTTCATAGTGGAGTAGGATGCAAGTATGCTTGGTTAGGGCGCGCGCTGCGGTCATATCTCCACAGGAGGAAAATGGTCCCAGAAGAACACATCAATTGCCTCTAACTCGTGGCAGCTCGTTTGCCATTAGGAGTCTTGTAGGGATTTCAATCAACTGCTCCATCCTTTTACACATGGACAATGTGTCAGCAGTCAGCTACATCAATCATCTCGGGAGCACGAGATCCTTGGTATTGGCGGAACTTGCAAAGGATTTCTGGCAATTCTGCCTAGATGGCAACATCTCAGTTCAGGCAGAATACATTCCCGGGATGTCCAACAGGGTGGCGGACTGGAATTCCAGATACCTGCAGGATACCAGCGATTGGCAACTGAATCGTGCCATTTTCCTCTGACTACGGTCACTTTGGGGTCCACTGGGGATCACGGTTGAACTCCCAACTACTAAAATTCTTCAACTGGAGACCAGATCCAGAAGCTTTGGCATCAGACGCTTTCCTGTAGCCGTGGCTGAGCACGCTGCACTACGCTTTCCCTCCATTCTCCCTGATGGCTTGGACGCTCCTTCATCTCATAAATTTGTACCGATCAGCTATTTCTGAGGGACAGCACGGATTGGATGGCTTCCCAGCTGGTAAACACCTATTGGTGTGCCGGCTCCTTTGGGGCATCAGATTTGCACGTCCACCTCAACCTAGATACTCCTCACTTTGGCATGTGGACCTTGTCCTCCGGCTGTTTGAATACTGGCCAATGAATGAAGACCTCTCACTCAAACAACTCACGGCGAAGCTGGTGATGCTGTTTTGCCTGATCTAATGTAAACGTGTTTTGGATGTGCGTGCCTTAGACATTTCTGCACATGCCTTTACTTCTGAGAGTGTCTCGTTTGATATTTCAAGACGTACAAAAACATCTATCACCCCAGTCTTCTACCCAGCTTTCACTCAATTTAAAACTGTCCGGTGAACTGAATACGAATCTAGGACTTCTCTAAATCGTGAACCAGCGTATCAGGAATTATTCTTGGCACTTCGACAACCTCATCATCCTGTTTCTACAGTCACCTTATCTCGTTAGGACAAATGGATCATGGCGTCAGCTGGCATCAACACTTCAGAGTAAGGGGCACATTCTGCTAGGGGAGCCATGTCATACAAAGCTTTCACCAAGGGATGCAAATTAGAAGATCTCCTATGGGCTGCCGATTGGTCCCACGAATCCACTTTTCGAGAATTTTATTTTCGTCCACTTTCTCATTTTTCTGATGTGGTGCTTTCACAGTTTTAAACTAGCATAATATAAAATTCCCAGATTTTACTAATTTCATTATGTAAAGTCACGATTTTATTAAGGACATGGAGGCGAGTATTATCCCACCCGATGCAGGTATGTTGGCGTCCTCCCTCGTGTGTTTCTTTTATTTGCTAATGGAATTATGATTTTATGGGGTAGGCACTTATTGAGGGTTTTTGTAAGTTACGATTCTGCTTACTTTGGATTTATTACTCTATTTAATGATGTATTATGGATATATTTTGTTGTCCAAAAACATATTTTACCAGTTGTTTCTCTGTTCCTTTCAGCCTCATAAATCGGATTTGGCACCATTGGTACATTGGTTCTTTTCATGTTTTACCGGAGGACCCATCTTACACTGAGTTCCAGTTCATCTACCCAAAGAATTGCTGTTTCGGTCCCACATTGAGAATAGGTTTTATTGAACTGAGTTTTTTGGCAGCTTCAACAAGAAAGAGGAGTGGCTTGGTTTATGACACAGAGAGCATTGTTATTGGATGTATTGTTATGTGTTAACCCTGTGAGGGTATATGTTAAAGTTTTTGCTATGAATATGTCAGCATCCTTTCTTTGCTGCTGAGGAATAAAGAAAGAGATAAGCATAATGAGCCTCTGTTTCTTTAATAAAAGACTTTACGTCATAAAATTAGTAAAATCTGGTAATTTTCTTACTAATATATAGTACAGCGAAGTGCATGAAACAATTGTGGGTTTGGAAATCCCATTTCTAAATCCAATGGGAAAATATTTTTTTTAAAAGTATTAAAATGTTAGCGAACTTAAGTCCCTGCCTTACACCACGGTGCACATTTCATGACAGACAACAGCTAAGAAATGTATTTTTTTTAGATAAAACTATCACCATAGTTATCCATAAAATGATTTACCTTACTTAAAGAACCACTATAGTACCAGGAAAACAAACTTGTTTTCCTGGCACTATAGTGCACCCTCAGGGTCCCACTCCCGCCGGGCTGAAAGGAGAGGAAGGGGGTTAAACACACCTTTCTCCAGTGTCGGGCTCCCTCGGCGCTGGGGACTCTCCTCCTCCTTCCGACTGTATCGGCTGAATGCGCATGCGTGGCAAGAGCCGCGCGCATTCAGCCAGTCCATAGGAAAGCATTCTCAATGCTTTCCTATGGACGCTGGCGTCTTCTCACTGTGAAAATCAGTGAGAAGCGCGGAAGCACCTCTAGCGGCTGTCAATGAGACAGACACTAGAGGCTGGATTAACCCATATGTAAACATAGCAGCAGTTTACAGCAGGCAGGGTTAACCCTAGATGAACCTGGCACCCAGACCACTTCATTGAGCTGAAGTGGTCTGGATGCCTATATTGGTCCTTTAACTAAAGGCCATTGAAATTTTGGAGAGAGAGGTTCACTGCATGTATGTATAAAACACAGATTACGTGTAAACACTACAACAATGTCCTCACACCACAATGCTTCAGTAAGTCAGGCTTACTCATGTGCATGTTTGGACATCTGTTGATAAATGCTATACAAGCACATGTGACAAATTTAAAAATAATTTATTTCCCCCCCCCCCCCAAAAAAAACCCACAAATCCGCCTCTAACTTTTACACATTTGGCACTCCTCATAATGAGGCTTATCAGTGATTTACCAGTTCCCCAAATTTTAACTAATATGATAAGAAATTCTACTTTAAAAAACTTTTTAAAACGCAAAAATGTACATAAAATATTTTCTGGTATTTATCAAACCAAGTGTTCAGCTCGATTGCAGTTATTTAAATAAATACATGTTACCACTGCCGCATCACACAATACAGATTGTGAACAATTATAGGTGTAATGTCTTTGTCCGGCAGAAAAATTAACATTTTCCGGATTTAATTTGATTATAGCTTCGTCGTTTATATAAACAATACACACGCTCACCTTGAAGTAAAACTTGCGGTAGGTTTTTAACACGGTGTTCTATCAAAATCCCCTACTGGCGCAGAACATAAACGTCACATACACAGTCACGCTTCGGTCGCCATCTTACTAACTGGAAACGAGAATGTCTGAATGTGATTGTGGGTTGGCGTGTTTCAGTGATACAAGGCAGCTGTTTGTTTCAGGGCTTGCTAATCGCTGGGTTCACTAAAATGTATGTTTATTAGTATTAGGGAACAACTTTGATGTTTAGTCTTTCTTTAAATCCTTTACTCACGAGTTCCCTCATAACTATGACCTTTCATATATGATCCAAAGTAAATTTGCATGACTTCCGGTGGGTATTATTACGGAGAATACTTAAAGGACCACTATAGGCACCCAGACCACTTCAGCTTAATGAGGTGGTCTGGGTGCCTGGTCCATCTAGGGTTAACCCTTTTTTCTATAAACATAGCAGTTTCAGCGAAACTGCTATGTTTATGTTAGGGTTAATCCAGCCTCTAGTGGCTGTCTCATTGACAGCCGCTAGAGGGCTTCCGCATTTCTCACTGTGAAAATTACAGTGAGAAGACACCAGGGTCCATAGGAAAGCATTGTGAATGCTTTCCTATGGACTGGGTGAATGCGCGCGCGGCTCCTGCCGCGCATTCAGCTGAAGAGGAGGAGAGCTCCCCGCCCGGCGCTGGAGAAAGAGGTAAGTTTAACCCCTACCTCTCCATCCAACCCGGCGGGAGGGGGACCCTGAGGGTGGGTGCACCCTCAGGGCACTATAGTGCCAGGAAAACAAGTATGTTTTCCTGGCACTATAGTGGTCCTTTAAGGTTTACAGAATTATGCAGACTGATGGAAGCAAAGCGTAACTAGCAACCATCGCTGTGCTATCATAATGTCCTACTACGTGACAATTCCCTACTGCTGCACCGGAGGCCGAATCAGCAGGAGGTCGGCCAAACCTTATGGGGCAACTGTGAAGTCATTTTCAACCCCCAGTTTCTCCAAGTGTCTAATTTCCCACCCAGGCCCTTCATGTGTCTTAATCTCTCCCCTCTCCTTGCCCTCATTCTCCCCCACCCATGCTCTCCATGTGTCTTATTCTCTGCCATCCACATGTCTCAATCCCCCCCCCAGGTGTCTAATTTCTTCCCCCCTAGGCCCCCAACGTGAATCATTCTCCAACCCTCATGCCCTCCATGTGTTTCATTCTCCTCTTCCCATGACCTCCATGTGCGTCATTCTCCCACTCCAGTCATACTTCACTCCACGCCCTCCCCCCCCCCAGGCTTCCCATGTGTCTCATTTCCCCCCGCCCCAGACTCCCCATGTGTCTCATTCCCCTCCCTCAGGCTCCTCCATGTGTCTCACTCCCCCTCCCCAAGGCCCCCATGTGTCTCAGTCCCCCAGCTCCTCCATGTGTCTCATTCCCCCTCCTCCAGCTCCTCTATGTGTCTCATTCCATCTCCCCCCAGGCTCCCCAATGTGTCTCATTCTGCCCCCAGTCCCTACACCCTACATGTCTCATCACACCCCCGCTAATCCATGTGTCTCATCCCCCTCCCCTCCTGGCTGAGTGGACCGTGGTACCCAGTCTTACAGGAAGTGCTCATTGTTCTTAGAAAGCTCTTTATTTCAGACTGTGGGTACCCTCGGCAATGCTACATGCAGTGAACAGCAGGAGGAGGAGGAGCAGTGTGCTGTGCGCTCCCCTATTGCTGCTCAAGGCCTTGAGATAGGACTAGTATTTTTTTCATATTTAAACTAAAAAGGTCCTCTGAGTGCCCACTTTCTTGGCATTTTTTAGTTATATATTGGTTCCATTGTGGTTAAGCACTGTGAAATTTGGATATTGTTGATTTAAGGTACTAGCTGCAATTTGGAAATTTTTCTTTGATGTATATTTATGTTCACCAGGCCTTTTCCAGCCTCAATACCTTTATGTCTGCGGTCAGGGTAATAAGGCACTTATTGGGCCTGCTTTGTTTAATAATTATATAGCTAGGTGTTGCAACTGATGGTCTAAATTTATGTCATGCTCAAACTTGGGCCTTTACATGTGGTTAGCATTTATGGTACTGCCTGTTAATATTATGTCTTATTTTACTGTCTGTCACTATTTGCATTGTTTTAAGCCATTTCTGGGCTCTGTTTGTTCTATGGTGATTCGGCCATATACATGACTCTCATCTAGATAACCATATTAAATTGCATGTGGTCTACTCAAACATTTTCACCATTCATTAAACCCCATTTAATGGCTAACAAAAAAAGTATGGAAAAAAAAAGGTACAACTTTTCATGCAAAATATTTCTAAATACAGTGGGTAGACAACGTCTCCAATGAAGTGTGCAAGTAACTTACAGACTTTAGAGCTCGCCTTTGGCTCTATGTATAATACTCAGTAATGGATATGGTGGGCAATCTTCATGTAAGGTGAAATGATGACGTCTCCATGAGAGATGCAGGACATCACACATATACTTTTATATTAGGCCCTCACTTGGCTTTCCATATCAAATGCTTCATACGGCCCTCCGTGGCAACCCACTATGACCACCATTTTAAGACATTTACATGTTGTCATCAGTGGTACCATGTTATTCAAATGCGTTATCATCATTTCTAATTAATAGTCCTACCATTACAGACTTCTCATTGGTATTATTATTATTATTATTATTGCCATTTATATAGTGCCAACAGAATCTGTAGCGCTTTACAATATTATGAGAGGGGGAATTTAAAGGAGCACTATATGGTCAGGAATATAAACACTATAGGGTTAAAACCACTATCTAGCCACCCTGGTTCCCTCATGCTCATCCTAAATCTTGTAAAATCCTACATGTATTCAAGCCTGGAGATGCTGTCTTTGCCACTGTTTCCTTTTGATCTGCCCAGTGCCTGCTGAAATCAGCAGAAGTGGTAGCCTGATCCAATCACAATGCTTCCCCACAGGATTGGCTGAGACTGTCAAGGAGGCAGATCAGGGGCAGAGCCAGCACAATTCAAACACAGCCCTGGCTAATCCGCATCTCCTCATAGAGATGAATTGAATCAATGAATCTCTATGAGGAAAGTTCAGTGTCTGCATACAGAGGGAGGAGATACTGAATGTTTGGATGCATTTCAGGCAGCCATGAACCAGGAAGGATCTCTAACAGCTATCTGAGGAGTGACAAGTGAAGTTATCACTAGGCTGTAATGTAAACACTGCATTTTCTCTGAAAAGAGAAAAAAGCATTTTCAGCAAAAAGCTTGAAGGTAATGATTCTACACATAAGAACAAATTCAATAAGCTGTAGTTGTTCTGGTGACTATAGTGTCCCTTTAACTATAAATAGGACAATTACAAGAAAACTTACATGAACGATAGGTTGAAGAGGACCCTGCTCATGCGAGTTTACAGTCTATAGGAGATGGGGTATAAAACATATTAGGACAGGAAATGGCAGTCAAATAGGAGAGAGTAAAGTGCTGCACTTTAGGAGAGAGCAAGAGACAGGTATGTGAGGTAGAGGTTACTCTGGGAGGCCATAAGCTTTCCTAAAGAGATGGGGTTTAAGGCACTTCTTAACGATGGAAGACTAGGGGAGTCTGATGACGGTAGGCAGGCTATTCCATAGGAAGGGAGCTGCCTGCGAGAAGTCCTGCAAGCGTGAGTTGGCCGTACGCGTGCGAGCAACGGACAGGAGAAGGTCACGGGCAGAGCAGAGAGACCTAGAAGGGGCATACCTAAGGATCTGTGAAGAGATATAAGAGGGGCTAGAATTGTTCAATGCTTTATAGGTATGGGTTAGCACTTTGAATTGACTCCTATAGCATACAGGAAGCCAATGTAAGGACTGGCAGAGGGGTGAGGTGTGAGAAACGACTAGAGAGGAAAATCAGTCTGGCGGCAGCATTCATTACAGACTGTAGCGGGGCAGTATGGCTTTTGGGAAGACCAATTAGGAGATGGTTAAAATAATCCATGCAGGAAATTACTAGAGCGTGGCAAAGCTCCTTGGTAGCATCTTGCGTTAAAAAGGGGCGGATGCTGACTATGTTTTTAAGATGGAATCTACAGGATTTGGCAACATACTGGATGTGAGGCCAGAATCAAGTATGACGCCAAGACAGCGCGCTTGCAAGGATGGAATTATGTGGATACCACTAACATGAAGAAAGAGGAGGATCAGTATTAGGAGGAGGAAAGACAAGGAGCACAGTTTTAGAGAGATTGAATTTCAGAAAGCGGGAGGACATCCAGTCAGAGTTGGAAGAAAGGCAAGCAGTGACACGTTGCAGGACGGCAGGGGAAAGTTCCAGTGGAGGAGAGGTAAAGTTGGTTATATACATGATATGGCGCTGGATCGATGCTCTGCCCCCTCCGACGTCTGGCGGCGATAGGGTGCTAATTAGAGCGAGTTAGACCTCTTCATAGGAAAGCATTGAATCAATCTCCCACCTAGGAAAAATCTGACGCTTTATTTCCTAATGCAGAGCATGAGGGTGTCCAGCATCAGAAACCGGATCAAAGGCCGGTTAGTATGGAGGAAGCGCCTCCAGTGACTGTCTGGGAGACAACAACTGAAGGCATACTTAGTGCTGCATTGTAAACATTGCAATAAATAAAACTGCAATAAATAAAAAAAATACAGGTGTAAGTGAATTTACCTCCTGAATGGGGGGGTAACCCCTAGTGAATGAATTCACTAATAATAACAAATACTAATCTGAAGTGTCAGAATCAGGACATCATATATTGTATTAGTTGGAGCCCTAAGGGCTAAACTAAGATAAAAGGAATGTTTAACATTGCAGCAGGAAGTGCAAAAGGGACACTACACACAGACCACTTCAATGAGCTGACGTTTATTGCAAAAAACTGGCTATCACAAACTAATGCATCGATGCAAGAGCTTATCAGACATATCTCCCAAGTTGGGAAATATGAATCCAATATATCACAGGTACCCCCTCATAAGAGTTGGAGACATGAGGTATGGGAAAGTTGGGCGCTAAAACACCCAACTTGAATGTCAGTCTACCAGGAATAACACACACCGCACCTAAACATAGGGACGCCACCGCAACGCAATGACATCATGGCCAGTGACCCATTGCGAGATATAACTCGGTACGGGCGGAAACCATAGACCATAAACCCCCGCAGGTTCCAGGGGTGGGGGCCGGGGGGAGGACAGTAGGTCCCCCCCTC